ACCATTTATTTTCCAACCTTTTCAGTTTTTTACTTCGATCTCTTTTTTTCTGAATAAGCTTAGAGAAAGGTACCAATACTAGAATGAATGAAATTACCTTACGTGTCTGTTTGCCCACCACAATGTCTTCCTTTCTAGGGCCATCAAGTGAGGTATGATACCGGTGACAGCTAGCATGGACTGTCACTCAGTGGTGCCGGTCACTGTGCCAGTGCTTTCCACTAGCAATGTGATGCATGGAGTCCTCACAACGACTCTGCCGATACTGTTCCCATTTTACAGGTGGTGAAACTGAGGCACAAAAAAGGCTTAATCAGGCTAGTGAGTACAGGAATCAGGACTCGAACCCCCCACATTATGGGTGTTGTCTTCAAGGTCATACGATCTCTGCCCTGCCTTTCAGAACAGATTGTGCTTTTCTCTCACATAGGAAAAGAGAACTTTGGGGCTATTAGGTAAGAACTATTACCTCCAGGGGCACCTGGGTGGCTCATTTGGTTAAGCGTCCAACTTCACCTCAGGTCATGATCTCACAGTTCATGGGTTCAAGCCCCATGTCAGGCTCTGTGCTGACAGGTCAGAGCCTGGAGCCTGCTTTGGATTCTGACTGTCTCTCTCCCTCTCTCTGCCCCTCCCTTATTCTCTCTCTCTCTCTCTCAAAAATAAGTAAATAAACATTAAAAAACAAAGGAGAAATTTAAAAAAAAGAACTATTACCTCCAAAATACATTCCTTTCAAAATCCAAGCAGAATGCAGTTAATTAATATAAATACAAAATGAATGTGGTGTCACTAAACTTTTCTCTTTTATTTATTTATTTTTTTTGGTGATTATTTAATTTATTTTTGATTTTTTTCCTCCTCAAGTTTTTATTTAAATTCCAGTTAGTTAACACAGAGTGCAATATTATAGTTTCAGGTGTAGAACTGAGTGATTCATCACTTTCATACAACACCCAGTGCTCATCACAAAACTGCTCTCCTTAGTACCCATCACCCATCTAGCCCATCCCCCATCCACCTCCCTTCCAGTAATCCTCAGTTTTGTTCTCTATAGTTAAGATTTGGTGATTAAAAAAAAAAAAAAAAAGTTTTGGTGATCATTTTATTTATTTATTTGTAAAAGTTTATTGACTTATTTTGCGAGAGAGAGAGAACAGGGGAGGGGCAGATAGAGAATCACAAGCAGGCTCTGTGCTGCCAGCATGGAGCCTGATGCAGAGCTCGAACTCACGAACCGCGAGATCATGACCTGAACCAAAACCAAGAGTCAGATGGCTTAACCGACTGAGCCACCCAGGTGCCCCAAGATTTGGTGATCATTTTTAAGACGTTTTATCTCCTTTGAGCTACCTTAGAAAAATATTAGAGACAGTGACATTCTTCTGTAATATTTCCCAGTTTGGCTGACTATTTTCAGGTTATATTATAAAAATATTATATGTCAAGGGCATTTGCCTACTTCAAGTATATCAATAAGATTAGGAAAAGTACCTAAGAATGAAAATTGATACTGTGATCATGGGCATAAATGTTCTAGTTATGGCAAAAATTGATAGAACACTTGAGTATTTGTGACACTATTCATGGAAAATAACTTTTTATAAAACTTTTGTTTTTGGAGAAGAAAACTTGACTTAGTCTGATAGCATAATATGTTTTTCAAAATATAGAATTGAGTGACTTTGGTTTGGGTGTGTTGACACATTCCCCCCCCCCCGTGGCTTTCTGTTCTAGAAGAATGATGCCTTTAGAATGCACCCACAGCTGGCACAGTTGGATGAAAGTCGTTCATGTCGTTTAACTGACAGTACTAATCACCGTAATAACTATTTTACCAGAAAATATAATTTGGCAGACATCTGTGATTAGTATACTAACACATTTCCTTGTTAATTTCTTTAGACAACCCTCACCAGAACATCCTTCGTGTGATCTGAATGAATCGTCCTGTCATAATGAATTATTTTGTAGGCCTGAGAAACCACTTTTATTAAGTTGCCTTAAGTGCTATTAATTTGAAAACCTTCTTCATGATGAAGCCTGAGGGAGAGGCGAAGGATAGCCCTTCTCCCTATTCTGACATATGATCCCTGGGGGGCCCACAGCCAGGGCCCTGAATCTCCCCACATCCTTCCCAAACTCTGCTTCTCCAAGCCTCAGCTTGAATTACTCTCCACCCAGGGCTTCCCACCCAGCCCCAGAGGCCGGGTGGGAAATGATTTAGTGTGAACACATGTATTAAGAAGAGAAACAATTGGCAGTGAGTTGAATTAATGACAACACATAAACTAAGGAAGTGAAGACAATGACAATTATTATTTCAGGGAAATACAAAAAGAAATTTACGCAAAGTAAGAGCTTACTGTTTGGCTCAGTTCTTCCTAGCAGACATACTCATTCTATGGACATGCACTTGAATGTTGATTTACCCAAATTACAACATGATTACTATGTTAAATGATTGCTAATATATAGTTGGTGAATTGAAAGGAAATGTTAGTGTGTAATGGGAGAGGGTGTGGTGATAGAGGTAGGAGGAGAAGGAACCGAAGCCTTTATTTTCCGTAGTGGGAGTTCACTGAAAAGCCCAAACTGAAAAATCATGAAGTAGCAATTTGCTTAGAGATATAGAAGAAAAATATCCCTTCAGACAGCTAAAAGAATTAAAATATTTGCCCCTAGGGAAGGGGAAATGGGAGAGGAGATCTGAGTATTAGTTGTGCATTTTACATTAGATAAGCGATATTCAGTATAAATGTATGCATATGTAACTGGGGTGAGGAGTAACTTAGGGAAAAAATATTAAAACAATTTTTTTTACATTTATTTATGTTTGAGAGACAGAGAGAGACAGAGCACAAGTGGGGCAGGGGCAGAGAAAGAATGAGACAGAGTCTGAAACAGGCTCCAGGCTCTGAGCTCTCGGCACAGACCAGACATGGGGCTCGAACCCACAAATCGTGAGATCGTGACCTGAGCTGAAGTTGATGTTGAACCAGCAGAGCCACCCACGTGCCCCAGGGAAAAAATATTTAAAAAGAGAAGAAAAGAAAAACAATCTTTGGGGGGGAAAAAGGGTAGAAGTATATCACCTAGAGGTCCATTTTAACATGTTGGTTTATTTTCTCTCAGTGTTTTCACCATCTATTTGTGATTTACTTTTTCTTCCTCCCCCTTTCCCTTCCAATCATTGACATTACTATACTCATACTATATGTGAAATTGGTAGCTAACTTACTGAGCACTTAAGTGCACGCAAGACCTTGTGCCAATACACATTTTATATGCATCATTTCGTTTGATTAACCCAACTGTGCGTGCCAATATTTTAACTTATTATATCATATATATATTTTTTAAGTTTTATATATTTATTTTGAGAGAAACAGAGATAGTGTGAGAAGGGGAGGGGCAGAGAGAGAGAGAGGGAGAGAGAGAATCCAAGCAGGCTCCATGCTGTCAGCGCTGAGCCAGACGTGGGGCTCGAACCCACGAAACCACGAGATCATGACCTGAGGTGAAACCAACAATTGGATGCTCAACTGACTGACCCACCCAGGTGCCCCATAAATATTTTCTTATATTAACATATTGTCTTCATAACCATCTTTTTTCATGGTGCAGTAGTATTCCATCCAGCAGAATATTTATCTTTTCCCCAACTTATTAGACTTTTAAGTTGTTTTTTAATTTTTGCTATTGTGAAGAATACTGAGATGATATATATATATATCAAAAAATATATATTTTCCTGACATTTGTGCTTTTAGAATAAATTTCCAGAAGGAGGATTACTGGGTCAAAGAGTATAATCAATCATGTTGCCAAGTTGCTTAGCTGTCTAGGGCACTTTTGTGTTCCTCCTTTAATGTTGATGCCTCGTGCAGCCTTGATGTGGGGGGAGAGAGAGATTCACTGCCATTTTACAGATGTGACAATTAGGAGCTAAGTCCCCAAGGTCACACAGCTGGGCGAAGAGCCAGAATTACAATGCATGGTTCCCAACTCTTTCTTGATTTCTGCCCCCCAGATGAAATGAAACGCAGGTTGAACTGTCCCTGCCACTTTCCTTCCCAGACATCTTGATCTTTACCGAGTGGAGCTTCTCCGTCATGGGGCCCTTTCCTTCCACTGAGGCCCATTCTGCTTTGGGAAAAAGTAAGACCTCTGTAGCAGCCCGACACCACACACTGAAATCTTCTACTAAGGCTAAGGGTGAGAAGGAGAAAGAACATGAGAAAAAGCAAAGTGAAATGTGCTTATTGAGAATATGGGAAGGTGTCTAAGGAGCAAACAAGAAAATATTGTAGTTTTGGAGGACGTGTTAGAGCTGAACACAGTAAAGAAGTTTGACTTGGGGAATGTTTAGGTCATGGTATGGCCTCTCTTTACTCAACTATACACAGGACTCTCTCTCTCTCTGTCTTTTAAGTTTGTTTATTTTGTGTGTGTGGGGGGGGAGAACGGCGGGGGTGGGTGGGAGAGAATCCAAAGCAGGCTCCACACTGTCAGTGCAGAGCCAAATGCAGGACTCAGTCTCACGCACTCGGAGACCATGACCTGAGCAGAAATCAAGAGTCGGACTCTTCAAGAGTCGGACGCTTAACCCCTAGAGCTACCCAGGCGCCCTACCACCGGACTCTCTTAAATCTACTTCTTTTTTTTTATGTTTATTTATTTTTGAGAGAGAGAGAGAGAGAGACAGAGCACGAGCAGGGGAGGGTCAGAGAGCGAGGGAGACACAGAATCTGAAGCAGGCTCCAGGCTCTGAGCTGTCAGCACAGAGCCCAACGTGGGGCTCAAACTCATGAATGGTGAGATCATGACCTGAGCCGAAGTGGGATGCTTAACCGACTGAGCCACCCCGGCGCCCCTTAAATCTACTACTTGATTGTGATATATTTTCTGAGGATAGAAACTAACCAAAAATTTGTATTTTTTTCTTTTTCAAGTGAATATTCAAAAAGTAACTTTGCATATCTATTTTTCAACCATAGAAGAAAGCGAGTCCTGCTTTGCCCAACCCAAACCACATACTCCGGGAAAAGAATCATCGACTCTTTACGGCAAGGTACAAAAGGAAAGTCCTCCTCCATTAGAGAAGCTCAAGATTTCAGCAGCATCTACAGCTAATGGTGTTAAATCCCTCCGGGAACAGCCCCTGGCAGACGATACTACAGACCCACCAGGACCTACAGAAGACGCTCAGCCTTTAGAAGGACCCAGGGAATCTGAGCCACTTCAGCCGCATGTCAAAGATGATACTCCCGGAGCAGGAGAGAAGAATGACACGGAAGCAGTGACAGAGGCTCAGTCTTTAAAAGGAAATGCTGAGACTGAATCTGCAGGAAGAGATACGAAGTATCAGCCGTCGAGGATCACAGGAGAGAGGGACTCTCCTGGAGCAGTGGAAGGTACTGAGAATCCACAAACTGCCAGAGAGATGAAACCTCTAGGAACAGAGGAGGAAGTTCCTCCTCTGGAAGCAGCTAGAGAGCCACAACCTCAAGAAGCAATGGGAAAGTGTGAACAGACCCAGCTCCCAAAAACAGTTCCCAAGGAGAATGAATCTCCAGAAGGATTGGAAGGGGGTCAGTTTGTGGAAATGGCTGGAGAGCAGAAACTTCAAGAAACATTGGGAAAAGATGAGCAATCCCAACTTCTAGAAACAATTCCCAAAGAGAGTGAATCTCCAGAAACATTGGAAGGAAGCCAGTTTGTGGAAACAGCTGGAGAGCGGCAACTTCAAGAAACAGTGATAAAAGATGAGCAATCCCAACTTCTAGAAACAATTTCCAAAGAGAATGAAACACCAGAAGTATTGGAGGAAAGTCAGTTTGTGGAAACAGCTGTAAACAATGATTTGCTCCATAAAACTCCTGAAGGTCTAGGAAACATGGAGCAGATTCAACCTGAAGGGATAGTTGGAAGCATGGAGCATCCAGTGGGAATTCTAGAAACAGGAGCTAATATGGAAACGGTCAGGAAAATTCACACTAATGAAGAGGACCAACACATTGAAGGTAAAAGTGATGTTGTCCGAAATTCAGGGTTGTTTAGATGTGCTACATAAGAGATCATCCCTGGGGATCTCTATTTCAGGGGTTTGAACTTCATTTTACCCAAACCAAAAAGACTTCCATACCTGAAAAACAAGCTCTTAGCTTTCTAGCAAAAATTTTCTAAACCATAGTCTGTGTCTGAAATTTTTAACCTGGAGTTTCATTGTTGAATACACTTGGATGTTGAAGGCAACATGTTAAAATTTCTGAGTTTTTCCGAGTTCACTTTTCATCAGGCCCCATGGAGGGTACGAGGATTCAAAGTAAAGATGAATAGGTGGTTAGTGGGGGAATTAAGCTTCTAATGAAAGAGTACCCACAAAATGGATCTTAGACTATAGTTTTCATCTTTGCCAATCTTATCCTTAGAAAATTACGGTCAGTCTGCTTGTGTCCTCATATAGTCCTCTTGTCTTTCTGGGAAGACTGGAGAAAATGTATTGTCTTGGTAAAATGTGTTTTTAAAATGTACCTCACCAGCATAAAACAAAGGGTATCCATACTGTTCTTTATTAGAATTATAATTTAAAAATAACATTTCTTCTGGGACATGATTTACATTTTGGTAAATTTTAGCTTCATACTACAGTATAATTAAATAAAGCACACGTCTGTCTGTTTCTTGATTCATTTATTACCCCAGCAGTTTTTGAGTGCTAATCATATGCCAAGTTCTAGGGGTACAGGAGATAGGCACTGTCCTCACGGTGCTCATAGGCTAGCGGGAAGAAGGCAGAATGGAAACAAGTTACCACAATCTATGGAGGTAAGTGCTTTAATGAAGGTGTAGAAAAGTGCTCCAGGGAAAACAGGGGAGATGTACTTGTTGCACTAGGGTTAGCAAACTCAAGTTGTTAGGGCCTAGGATAATGACCGTGAGTGAAGCGAGGGGCACATGTTATGGCATGGGGAGCCCTGGGGACCGTGGTGAACAGGAGCACTGTCCTAGCAAAAGAGGCACCACTTCTTGGCTCCATCCATGAGCATGGGGGTCAGTGTGGCCCATTCTGATTTCTTAGGGAGACAGATTTGTATCTACAACATCCAGACCTTTATTTGCAATCTTTTTTTTTTTTTATCTCTCTTTTTTTAATGTTTGTTTTTGAGAGAGAGAGAAAAAGAGACAGAGTGCCAGCAAGGGAGGGGCAGAGAGAGAGAGGGAGACACAGAATCCGAAGCAGGCTCCAGGCTCTAAGCTGTCAGCACAGAGCCCGACATGGGGCTCGAACTCATGAACCATAACATCATGACCTGAGCCAAAGTTAGATGCTTACCCGACTGAGCCACCTAAATGTTTGCAGTCTTTAAATGTTTAACAATTGTTTTCTTTATTTTTTTTTATTTTTTATTTAAAAAAAAATTTTTTTTCAACATTTATTTATTTTTGGGACAGAGAGAGACAGAGCATGAACGGGGGAGGGGCAGAGAGAGAGGGAGACACAGAATCGGAAACAGGCTCCAGGCTCTGAGCCATCAGCCCAGAGCCTGACGCGGGGCTCGAACTCATGGACCGCGAGATCGTGACCTGGCTGAAGTCGGACGCTTAACCGACTGCGCCACCCAGGCGCCCCAACAATTGTTTTCTTTAAACACCATAATGGCCCTAGGTTTCTGGGCATGCCTAGACCACCTTTTCATTTAGATATAAATGGAACGTTTTTAAAACACTTTTTAAAAATGTTTATTTTTATTTGAGAGAGAGTGAGAACATGCACACAGAGGGGAAGAGAGAGAGAGAGACAGAGACAGAGACAGAATCTGAAGCAGGCTCCAGGCTCTAAGCTGTCAGCACAGAGCCTGATGTGGGGCTCCGACTCATGAGCCATTGAGATCATGACCTGAGCCGAAGTTGGACGCTTAACCAACTGAGCTACCCAGGCGCCCCTAAATGGAACTTTTTATTTATAGTATGTTCTGCTGTCATTTCTTGGGTAATTCTGTAGCCTGATTTTATGTAGGAGGATGCCAAGATAGGAGATGTTAAGTGACATCAGCCATTCAGAGGATCTGAGAGAATCAGGGCAATTTCCTTTCCTTTTTTTTTTCTTTTTTCAAGGGTTACATTTTTAAAGATGTTTTATTTATGTTTGAGAGAGAGAGAGAGAGAGAGAGCAAGGGAGGGGCAGAGAGAGAGGGAGACACCGAATCTGAAGTAGGCTCCAGGCTCAGAGCTGTCAGCACAGAGCCCGACGCGGGGCTCGAACTCATGAACTGTGAGATCATGACCTGAGCTGAAGGTGCCCCAGGGCAGTTGCCTTTCTAGATACCATCAGAGAAATTTACTAATTTGACCTAAAGAGCAGAAACTGCCCCACTGGAAGTCAGCTGTGAGGTGCTTTATTGTCAATGATAAATGAGAGTATCTTAATATCTCCTTTGGTTACTTTTCCAGGTGAGACAGGAGAAAAAGTTGAAACAGAGACGGAGGATGAGAAAGTAAGTGAAGGGACTGGAACAAAAGAAGAAGAAACAGGGGAAGCTGTGGACGTTTCAGCAGCCATGTAGATGGATGTGGTAGCAGAAGGATGAATAGGCACAGGTGTTGTGATAGAAAATGTAGTGAAGTGTGTGACTTCGGATCTGATTGTGTCTATAAATGTCTATGTGTTTTATACAAGGAGTATGGTTATCATGTTCTTGATTACATTGTTCCATAAAACTGCTAAGCTGTACACAGTTTTCTCAGGCACTTAGAATAGTTATACATTTAGAACTACAGTAGCCACGGCCAGTAAGGACTAGGGTATAGGATCACTGAAGAGTGTGAGGGTGTTTTCTTCACTGTGGCAACACGTCCATTCAGTTCAGAAAATGACACCCTGAAAAGAAAGTATAAACCTTAGGTGTAGGTGGCTGGAGAAAGGAGTTAAATTTTAGGGAGCATATGATAATCAAGTAACACAGTTATAATTACAACGGGATAAGAATGAACAACATCAGGGCAAACTATATCTAGTGGGTTTTTTTTTTTTTTATTTCGGTTTTTTTTTTTTTTTTCTGTTGAAGAATTTAAAGCTGGTAGGAACCTACTCACCTTAAGTCTGTCTACTACCATAGACTCTTATTTATGTCGAAGGAGTGCAGTCTCTGGTGCTGTTGCAAGATCAGGCATTTCCACACTGAAAGGCTACACGTTTTTCCAGGTGCCATTTTAAATCAGTTGTTGATTTTACACTTATGTGAAGGGTTTCATTGGTGTTATCCTTTTAACTGACATTAAAGGCGTTTTAAACTTACTGACTTTTAAACGTATTTCAGAGACAACAGACAGCAAGAATTAAAACCTAGATTTGCTGCCTATGTGGAATTTATTCCCTGGGTCCTGTTTTGTTTTGTTTTTCAGATTGCTGTGGCTTAATGTTAGGCTTTAGAGGTAGAAAGGAGCTAAGAAATCAAGATTTAGAAACCATTTATAATATTGCATTAATGTTAAAATGATGCACCATTGAAAGTTACTTTTCACGAATTCTTCCTAAGTTGCCAAGGGATTTTGGTAAAAGATTATACATGAATATAGTAATGACAATAGCAATCTTGTCTACCATTGAGGACCTGTGTTTATGTATATCAGGATAGAATTATATTCTGGAAACATTTTGTTTCCTTTTCTTATTTGTAAATGTGTATTTTTAAGATAACTGCTCAGATGAATTAACTAGACTCTTTTATTTTTAATTTTTTTTTTAATTTAGTTAACATATCATGCAATATTGGTTTCAGGTTTAGAATTCAGTGATTCATCACTTACATACAGCACCCAGTGCTCATCACAAGTGACCTACTTACTACCCATCACCCATAGCCCATCTGCCACCCACCTCCCTCCATCAACCCTCAGTTTGTTCTCTATTGTTAAGGTCTCTTGTGGTTTGTTTCCCTCTCTTCTTTCTCACCCCCCCCCACCCCGTTCATCTGTTTTGTTTCTTAAATTTCACATATGGGTGGAATCATATGGCATTTGTCTTTCTTGGATTTGACTTATTTCACTTAGCAAAATACATTCTAGCTCCATCCACATCATTGCAAATGGCAAGATTTCATTCTTTTTGATGGCCGAGTAATATTCCATTGTATATAAATAATCTCTTCTTTATCCATTCATCAGTAGACTCTTTTACTTTGGCTTTTATATTAAAATGACTACTAAGATGACTTGTAATTAATTTCAAGAATATAGCATACAGGGAAGAATTATCTTTATTCTGATTTTTAAATTTTTTTTTTCAACGTTTTATTTATTTTTGGGACAGAGAGAGACAGAGCATGAACGGGGGAGGGGCAGAGAGAGAGGGAGACACAGAATCGGAAACAGGCTCCAGGCTCTGAGCCATCAGCCCAGAGCCTGACGCGGGGCTCGAACTCACGGACCATGAGATCATGACCTGGCTGAAGTCGGATGCTTAACCGACTGCGCCACCCAGGCGCCCCTCTTTATTCTGATTTTAATAGTAGTTTATGTTTCTGACTTTAAAGAGTTGAAGTAGACAACAAGAGGGGGTACTTGAGTAGATGATGTCCCCCTTTCTGCAAAGTAGCTCGATTGTGATTTTATTGAGACCAAGGACTGTTTTGTGTATCTTTGATTCAGGCATTTATCTCCTTTCATGGAACATTATAGGCACTTGATAAATATTTGTCAAATCAATACATGAATAATAAATACCCATTTATGTTTAATTCATTAGAAAAGAATATATTTAAGATATCAATTTGTGTAGCACTAACATTTTCTTGAGGGCTGCTCAAACTCAGCAACGTGCTATATATTTGGTGTAGTTTTCTGAAAACAGCAAAATTTTGAGGTCAGGAAGTGTATAAATTAGAACTGATATAACATCTCTCAAGCTGACTTTTGTAATCCAAAGGTGTTTTTCCTGACCAAAAGGTATTTTTATACAGATATCTAGTAAGTAGAGAATGACAGAGCTCAGTGTAAAATATATCTGATCACCTTAAAAGGTGGAATTGTACTTTGTATCAAGTACTAAAATAGTAAGAATCATTTACTTAATAGACATAAAGGTCCATTCTCCGTTGTGTGAATTTTTTTTTAATCATTAACATGTGTTAAAGAGACCTATTCAGAACTGATTCTTGAGAGAACTCTTTCTCAAAGGCATTATTATATAGTTGTAATATAAAAGTTTTCAAATTGTCTATTAATCCTACTTTTTCCACGAATTACTAAAATAATTTATTCTTAGAAAATTTTGGAAATTTGTATAAATTTCTGGTGCTTTTTATACTTTTGTCTTTGGCCTTTAGTGTGGTTATTAAGACATTTTTAGAAACCGTTCTTATTCTCTTAGATAATATTAGTAAATTTTTATTCAAAACCTATAAAGAAAATTAAAATGTTCCATAATATTTGAATATTCTAACATTGAAATATTTCTTCTAAATAATTATTTATTTTTAAAAATAAAATGAAAGTAATAAGTGCCTGTAGTAAAATTCAAATAATACGGAAAGCTATAAAATGGGCAGCGAAGTTCTTCCTCCCATATCTTTTAGTCCTTCTATGAAAAGATAATAAGGTTTCTTGCATATAGTTCCACAAAAAGGTAATGTACATGCCATGCTATATGCATGAACCAAAACATGAATGTATATTTTCATATCCACATTGTAAAACACAAATGAGAATTTACATAGGCTTTGTATTACACAAAGTGCATGTGAAACCACAATTCTGTTCTTTCCCGTGTTTAAATGTTTCCCTTTTGCCTAAGACTGGTAGACAGCACAGCCAAGTGCTCTCTGCTTCTAAGTGCTCAGACTCTGAGAGATTATTAATTTTGCCCCAGATTCAAAATGCACAAGTTGGACAAAAGGCTTGAATATTCATGATGAATTAATAGAGAAACTACCTTTGGGGCTGGATTCTCTCATCCTGGGGGGCTGTCTGGCCCCAGGATTGTAGCCCCGTTTGTGTTCTACTAAGATAATCTCAGTATTTTCTATACCTAACTGGGAGGGAAATGGTGAACAAATGATTTGTCTGCTAGCATTCCCAATAGGGAGTGAACGTTTGCATTTACCAACAGAGGGTGCCAGTAGCAAAGCTAGGAAGTTCCCGGTCTGACTCAGGAACACTGGGCCAGAAGTGCTCTGTACCCAGAGTCTCCCAGGGAACCACAAGATAGGAGTGTGTGGTCAACCTGTGACCTTATTGCCTTTTCCATTTCGACTTTGGAGTAAGAGCTCCTAGCATAGCCTTGAGCAGTCAGAACACCCACATCCCTCCTAACAAATGCTTTGTTCCACACTTGGCCTTGAATTAAGAATGGCTTTAAAAGGAAAATGTTTTTTCCCACATTTAACTAATCCGATAGTGTTGGGGAGTCATCACCAAATAACCTTGATAGGGTTTACATCTGTGCTCTCTGGGAAAATACAAAAGCTTGTTAGAGCACCTAATATCACAAACATCTTTTTTTTTTTTTTAACATTTATTTATTTTTGAGGGAGAGAAACAGAGCACAAGTGGGGGAGGAGCAGAGAGAGGAGACACAAAATCTGAAGCAGGCTCCAGGCTCTGAGCTGTCAGCGCAGAGCCCGACATGGGGCTTGAACCCACAAACCGTGAGATCATGACCTGAGCCAGAGCCGGACACTCAACCGACTGAGCCACCCAGGCGCCCCACAAACATCTGATTTTTATAAAGATAATTTGGCGACCTACCTGTGAATTGTTTCATAAATGTCAGCAGTGTGAACATCATAAAGCCACCCACATTTGGAAGGGAGGAGAGAATGACTCTCTTCTTTTTCTCTCCCCACACTGCACCAGATAGCAGGGCAGAGGTGTGTCTGAGAAGTTAAAAGTATTTGTTTACAAGATATCCTTTAATCTGAAACTTTGTCAGCTCTCCTCTTCCTCGGAGTTTATAAAGTTAACGAACATTTGGTTATAATACAAGGTTTTAATTGCAGGAACAGAATCCGTGTAATCCCAGAGAGCAGATGGCAGGTATGGAATTTCTGTGTTCAGTTCTTGTTACAGTCAACAAAAGCTAGGGGACTCCCCAGCATTACTAACCCATGTAGAATCAAATCGGAGGCCATTATTAGCTTTATTCAGTAATGCCACTCAGCGCATTTATTGGGCAATATTTCAGATACTGCAAGCTCACAACTGTATTGTTATTTTTGTGCCTAATGAAAGAAGTCTCCAGACATCAAAGCCAGCCTTTTACCCCTTTGGTTTCATAATGTGCTCTTATTGACATGAATAAACATATTACTCCTACCCATTACTGGGGACGGAGATCAGTAAGCCTTACCAGTTTCCAGAAAGAGTTCTGAGAAACCAGTTAGGGATACTAAATTTTTTTTGACACTGAAGTATACTTGACAAACATTGTTTGAAATCTGTCTCAGTTTTTCTCCTTGTAGAACATAAAGGGCTTTCAAATTTTTCTTAATAAAAGTAACTGTAGCAAAATATCATTCGTCTGATTATATAAATTGATGAAAAAAGTAATGCATATTATATTGAGTTGATTTATATAACCGTTATTCCAAATACCTTTAAAAAAATTTTTTTAACGTTTATTTTTGAGAGAGAGAGAGAGAGACAGAGCATGAGCGGGGGAGGGGCAGAGAGAGAGGGAGACACAGAATCCCAAGCAGGTTCCAGGCTCTCAGCTGTCAGCACAGAGCCTGGCACAGGGCTCCAACTCACAAACCGGGAGATCATGACCTGAGCGGAAGTCAGAGGCTCAACCGACAGAGCTACCCAGGCGCCCCCAAATACTTTAAAAAAAATTACTTGGGGGCACCTGGGTGGCTCAGTCAGGTGAGCGTCTGACTTTCGCTCAGGTCATGATCTCGTGGTTCATGAGTTCAAGCCCCACATGGGACTCACTCCTGTGAGTGCAGAGCCCGCTTCAGATCCTCTGTCCCACTTCCTCTCTGCCCCTCCCCCGCTTGTGCTCTCTCAAAAAAAAATAAACCATCTAAAAAATTACTCAATGACAAGAGCAGAGGCTTTCTATGGCAGCTGTACTGTGGTAGGGTGACTTCGGGTTGGCAAGAGTTCAGCCCCAGCACCAACTAGGAAGTCACAAGGCCCACAGGTGACTTTCTAACCATCACCACACTCATAGCAGTTCTGTGAGGGGACAGACAAGTAGTTTATTTCAATTACAGATATTTCTTCTTTAGTGGGTCAGTACGGATTTATTTCATGTTTTCCGGGTATCAGAGTTTTGTTTAAA